CACTGGAGAAAGACAAAGAGAAACAAATAGAGAGAAACTGAGAAGTCATCCCCTAGCGATGATGGCCAACTCCTTCTTCTCCAGTCTCCTCTCTGGATTTTGGGTATGCACACACAAGCACCTAGCATGATTTTCACGCCACTGGGTCCAAGACACAGACCACAGCCGGCCCTGTGAAAGTCTAGCAGTTGACCACCATGCCACCTGCTGGCCCTGAGCCCACACTTCTATTGTCTGGTTGTATTGTCTGAATGTCCTGCTTGCACACTCCAAAAACATTGGCACTGTATTGAGCCATAGAACATCTGGTCCCCTAAACCAGGAATGGCATCCCCAAGATCCCAAAGTCATTGGTGGGATGGAGCTAGAACTCTGGAGTCCCATTTTCAAACACAACCGCAACAGCGTAGCAGACATTCAAAACCATCCTGAGTGTCAATCGGAGAAGCTCCCCCGCGCTGCTGTTCTTCGGACATCGAGGCCGTGCCTGTGTTCAGGACTGCTCCCTGGCCGGATAGGCAGAGCCAGCAGTGTGATGCTGTGTAAAGCTCAAGGCCCTTTTGGACTTTGACTTGGCAGCAAGAGGTATGAAAAACAGGCCACGCTGTGAAGGTAGGAAAGCCACGCCACACCCCTGCTCTCCTCGCCCGTCCTCATCTCCCGGAACCATGTGTAGAAAAAGTCTCGCTGTTGACAGCTGAATCTCTTAAAGAGCCTTCCAGAACTCCTGCTTCCTGGTTGAAAACTCATTAGCAGATGGCCTGTCTTCTGTGGAAGAAGAAATTCTTAAAGGGTATTTTGTCTTAGTCTCTTGGCACTTCTACCAGAAAATACTTGAGACTGGTTAATTCAGAAAGAAAATGTATTTCCCGGGACTAGCAGTTGGCATAATGGCTATGTTGCTGGACTCCCACATAGTTGACCGCAGTTCAAGTCCCAGACCCGGTGGCTTAAACTCACACTGGGCATGGTGCGTGCGTGCCCAAGATCCCGAGAAGAAAATGGAGGAGAAGGGATTGAGGCGTGGCCATCCCCCCTGAGGGGTGATTTCTCGCTTTCTGTCTCTCTGTCTCTCTCTGTCTGGCGAGCACACGCGCCCTATAGCGAAAACCTCTAAAAAAAAAAATGTATTTCCCATGCCTCTGAAGGCTGGGACGTCTGATTCTGATCAAGGGGCTGGCCTTTGGTGTCTGGTGGAACGTTCTAGCTGCATCACCCCATGGCAGAAGGGGAGAACCGTGTCCTCAGTGGTAGAGGGCAAAGTTAAAATGCTTCCTCGGGCCCCTTAACAAGGCACTTCAAATAACTTCCCCAAAAGATCCTGCCTCTTTTTGTTTATTATTATTTTCTAGACAAGGCCTCGCTGTCACGGTCGTGTCTCAGCATCCCCGCTGGGACTGCAGGCACGACCACCATGCCCGACTCCTTTCCATTCAGGGTCTTGTTATGTTGCCCAGGCCAGTCTCAAACTTGCAATTTTCCTGCTTCGGCCTCCCAGAGTTGCTGGGATTATGTCACTGGGCCTATCAAAAAGATCCTCTCTCTCCTTTTGTTTTCCCCCAAGTTTTCCCCATAGGGTGTGTGCATTCACCAGAGAGAAAGAGAGAGAAAAAGTGAGAAACCACCCCTGGGGGGGGTGGCCATACCACAATCCCTTCTCTGTCAGTCTCCTCTTGAGATTTTGGGCACACACGCACAGGTGCCTGGCATGATTTTCAAGCCGCAGTCGTGGAGCTGGAATTATGGTCGGCCATGTGGGAACCAGTGCCTTAACTACCATAGCACCTGCCAGCCCCGAGAGCCTCTCTGAATGCTCCCACCGTGGGAGTTCAGTTTCATTTTTGAAGGAGATACATTCAAACTATAGTAGTGTTCATGTTTTATAGGACTTTAAGTCTTTTTCAAAAATGTTTTATTCTATTTTTAATTGATATCTAAAATGACATCTACTTATCATGTACAACGTGATATTTTAAAATATGTATACATACTGGAACCGCTTAACCAAACTAATTAACATACACATTGCCTCAGTTATTTTTGTGGTAACACTTGAAATCTACTCAACATTTTTGACGAATAGATGTTTTGTTATGATAGCCACCATGTTGTAAATAGAGCTCTTGAACTTACTCTTCCCACCTAACTAACACGTACACACTTGGCCCAGCAAGTCCCAAACTGTCCTAGCCCCTGGTGGCCGCTCTCTGCGTGTTCACTGATGTGATTCACAACCACCACGACAGGGAAGCCAAGTGTCCATTCAAGGATGAAGGAAAAGGAAACGGGCTACGTGGTACGTGCGTGCAAGGCCGCACTGTTTGCCCACCGTGAAGAAGGAGATGGTATCACGCGTGAAAGCATGGGGGGGGGCCTGGAAGAAGCTCTGTTGAGTGAGACGAGCAGGCACAGGGTGACGAACGCCGAAAGACCTCCCTCACGTGTGGAGTCAAACCCTGGACCTGTTCGATCTTCACAAATGTTCAGTGCAGGGAGCCAGGCTAACAGGATGGCTGTAAACCTGCCACAATATTTATGGAAGCAGACGATGGCTTGTCACATCACCCAACTGACACAGGTGTAACTTTAGTTTCTTTCAAAATGAATTTTTTCCAAGCCTAAGTAATCAGAGACGTTCTTTCTAAGTGATTGATATTGGATCAAAATTAATTTATTAAGCAATAGTATTTGTGGATTGACTGCTGTCAGGGAAGGAAGAACCACGTGCAGATGAGAAGGTGTATAAGAAATACACTGTCCAGCCCTCAGCTAGCCTGCAGACAGAGGAGAAGAGAGCCAGCAAGTGATCAGAGGAGACCAGGCGCTCCAAGGCCAGGGCGCTGGCGAGTCAGAAGAAAACTTGGCTGGAGACACTAGGGTGTCTAAGAGCTTTCTGGAGCTTGACCACATCGTAAAGAACAAGCGTGATTTAAGTAAGTGGCTGCAACAGTGCTGAGTATGTATCAATAGAAGATTCTCAATAAATATTTCTTGAATTTAAAAAAATGAAAAAAAAAATACTTACTTATGAGTGGGACGGTATAGGCAGAAGCACAGACCGGGGACTGAGCATGGCCGCCGAGGTGGCAGAAAGGGAAGGTAGACATGAGGGCAGTCAGCACCGGGCCACAGTGGGCCAGGGAGGAGGTGGCATTTACGGACACTGTCCATGTGCAGACACCACAAGGGCCAATTATCGCACCTGAGCCTCACAACGGCCTCTAGATGTGAAGCCTTACCTTCTCTACTCCATATATGTCAATATTTCAGCCTCTCGTGGTGAGGAAATTTGCTCAAGGTCACGTACCTAGTGACTGATAGGTAAGTAATCCACAGCCTGCTCAGTCAAACTCTCAGACCTTTTCTTTCTTTTCTTTTCTTTTCTTTTCTTTTCTTTTCTTTCCTCTTTTTTTTCTTTTCTTCTCTTCTTTCCCTCTTTTTCTCCTTTCTCTCTTTCTTTTTCTTTTTTCTTCCTTCCTCTCTCTCTTTCTTTCTTTTTCTTTCTTCTTTAACTTGCTGTAGGGCAGGTGCACTCACCACAGAGGGAGGTGAGTCTGTCCTCAGGGGAGATGGCCATGCCGTAATCCCTACTCCAGTCTCTTCTTGTGATTTGGGGCATGCATGCACACACACCTGGTGTGTTTTTCAAGTTGCTAGGTCTGCGATTTGAATTACGAGTTGGCTATGTGGGATCCAGTCACCCTAACCACCTCACCACTGACTGGCCCTAAAACACTTCTCCCTTCTCCTGCATCACAGTATTTCTCAGGGAATGAGTTTGAGAGTGATGTGATCAACTCTCGATACCTGGTAACAGTTCTCGGGAAGCAGCCAGGTAGACGTGGTGGTGGAGGAAACTGTTCACTGTACTAATTTAGGGTAGAGTAATAGAGGAGGAACACAGAAGTAGGGGACCCAGCTGGGAAAGCTGAACCGATAGTGGAAGTGATGATGAGAAGGACAAATGTGTCATTTGAGACCAGCCAATGCAACCAGACTCAGGGGTGGCTTGAGCATAGTGGTGTGGGAGGCGGGGAGCAGTTCAGGTCAGTCGCAAGATTTGGGGGCTGACAAGAGGGAACAAGACAAGCTTGGAAAGAAAATACAGGCCTGTAACAGGCAGGGACTAAAGACCCTGCAGCCACAGCCTGGAATCACGTGGGTGAGGGGAAGAAGATGGCAAGCTCCATTTGGGACACATTGATTTGGAAATGATAGCTGAAGACATACATGAAAATACGCTGCTGGCATTTGAGGATACGAGGCCAGCAGATGATATCATGGTTACGTTGCGGGACTCCCACGTAGTCGCAGATCAAGTCTCGGACCTGACAACTTAAAATTCACACCGGGCACGTGTGTATGTGCCAAAGGTCCCAAGAGGAGAATGGAGGAGAAGGGACTGCAGTGGGGTCATCCTCCCTGGGGGGCGATTTCTCGCTTTCTGTCTCTGTCTCTCCAGTGAGCGCACACGCCCTAAAGCAAAAATCTCTCCAAGTATACATCTATATATGAGTCGAGATAAATACCAAACTAAAATATAAAATTGGATCTCTTGTCCAATAAGGGAAGAAGTTTAGAACAGAACCTAGAATGATACCCACAACGGGAGACAGAGAGACAAAGAAACTCAGGAAAACTAAAGAAGTAGCTGGAGAAGCAGAAAGAAAGCAAAGGGAGATGATAGCCAGACGGCAGATACAGGAGTAAGAGGCGATGGCGAGTCACAGGCGGACGGGAAACTCGTGAAGACAGTTAGTGGGCCGTGTGCGGGAGAGCGGACTAGCTCGCAGGGGACAGAGTGTTGGTTAGGGTGCCGACCACGCTCTCAGGGGACAGAGAGTGTTGGTTAGGGTGCCGACCAAGGTCCCAGGGGACAGAGAGTGTTGGTTAGGGTGCCGACCAAGCCTGTGTGACAGAAACCGAAATGACAGCACTCGGTGGCTCGAGGCCTGTGTGGTAATGACAGGAGCTTCAGGGCCCAGTTCCTTCAGCCTCACCGATCTGCGTCCCGATCCCGGGTTCCCTCTCAGGATCTAACGGAGTTCCTCCACTTTCTGCCACCGCATTTGCATTCCAGCCTGCAAGAGAGGAAAAGGGGAACGGGGAGGGCGGTCTCAAACTGTACACGTCTCTCCCACTCCTATCCCAGGGCCACACCCAGCTGCACAGCAAACTGGGAATTCAGACTGAGCGTAAACTGCACACAGAGCTCTCCGCCCCTCCCTCTTCGCCCTGCTGAGCCACCGCATTTGCATTCCAGCCTGCCAAGAGAGGAAAAGGGGAACGGGGAGGGCGGTCTCAAACTGTACACGTCTCTCCCACTCCTATCCCAGGGCCACACCCAGCTGCACAGCAAACTGGGAATTCAGACTGAGCGTAAACTGCACACAGAGCTCTCCGCCCCTCCCTCTTCGCCCTGCTGAGACCCAGCTGCTGGTCCGGCTGGACCGTGGGAGCCGCTTGGGACCATCCGTCGTCCAGTGAGCCTGACCCGGGGCTGGGGCTGTTCGGGTGTACGTCTCACACCTCTCCCATGGTTAACATCCCAAGACTAGAGGTGCTAACCCCCAGACACTAACCCCAGACCTAGCCCGCTGATTCTCCGAGTCGGTGAGCTGACCAGGTATTGTAACCCCCGCCCCCGACTTACGCATGCTTCGTTCTCGACGTATAAACCTGAGCCCGTGCTCGCTGGCCGCCAGGTGGCTCCCCACCGGCCGTCAGTGGCCTTCCCTAGTCAGTCCTTTCCTGTCTCTCTGCTGGACCTCAGCATGTCCTTTGCAGTTGGTAAACATCATGCGCAGGCACCCCCAGATTTGGGGGGGCTCTCAAAACATTTTGCATAGTTGGCAGGATTCCAGAAAAGACCTCGTTGTAGTGGCCACAGGGGAAACTGAGTAAAACGGGATGTGACGGGGGAACTACCAGGGTGGGGCCCCACCTCAATGTGATATGAGGTAGCCGGTCTCTTAGATAGTTGGGGGCCACCTTGTAAGTACAGGGATGCCCTCCCCCGCAATGCCTAGAGGACTGAAAGAGCTTCTAAGAGCGACTGATGAAAAGGGGAACTTTCGGAAGGAAAGCGAGTGTAGGCCATTGGTGTGGAGGTGGGCGGGCCACTCCTTGGTGTGAGCTGGCCCAGAGCACAGCAGCCACGGGAGATGCAGCCACACAGCAGGGACTGGAGGCCTCTTTGTCGCCGCCTAGAGCAGATAACTGAACGACAGGAACTAGCCTGCAGCTTCGTAAAGGTAACGGGGCAGAAAATGCCACTAGCACGAGTCCACGGAGCAGGGCCCGATCAGACTGGGATCCCCGAAGGTGGAACCGCCCCGAGGATAGACTCCTCAGAGGGAGAGGTTCCCCGGAGGTAACAGAGGACACTGAGGGTGGAGCACAGGGGACCTGGAGTAATGTGGAGGCCGAAAGCCCTGCAGCGCAGCCTGTGGGAGCCAACCCCGACAACCTGCCACCACCCAACCATTGCTCCACGCCATGGCTCGACCACACACGCCAGCTAAATCTGTCAAGCTGGTGACAGAATTTGGGCAGAAGGGTGGTGAGAGCACGCCGGGTGGGTCCTGCAAATGAGATGCAGGCCCAGATGGAAACCTCCTCTCTGGAGCGGAGATGCAAACGATGCCTTCTACAACTGGTCACCCTTGGCCAAGGCAGCCATTCGCGGGCCTCGGGGCAGGATGAGAATGCCTCCCTATTAGCCTAGCTCTCCGCGGCATGCTGCCTTGTCAGCCCGATGAGGATGACCTGCCATCCTTCACCCGCAGATGGAATACTGTGGAGGCATTGCAGGAGCTCCTCCAGGCACTGGGAGTGTGCAGTCCGTCCATACCCACACTCTAGCAGGCCAGGTGATGTGCACTTACTGCTGGTATGAAAGACAGGCTATGCCATCGGCCCCCTCGTACTGCTCTGTTCCCTCCATCCTTGCCCCTGTGGTGGGTGACCACGCTCACTGGGCTGGGCAAGCAGTTGCTGACGTAGGGGAGATTGAAACTACAAGGCAAAAGAAGGGAATTCAAAAGGTACAAAATAAATGCAAAGAGTCACAGAAACAGAAACAGGGGCGTGAAGACATGGGACCTAGAAAAGTCACCCACAGACAGATGTGGGTAGATCTATTAAAGGCTGGAGTAGATCCCACGAAAATAGACGAATATCTTAATGTGGTCTTGGTGGGGCTGTGGCAACACTTGCCGAAAGAAGAGATTCCAGCCCCTACCTGAGAAAAACCTCAAGTGTGATCCTGGAACGGACGCCAAGCCAGCTTAGTAACGCCTCTCCCCTCCGGCTTCCAGCTGCCTGGTGTGATGACGCCTCTTGTGGGACAGTGAAGAACCAGGTCCACCTCACAGGACATGGCCATTGGCATAGAGAAGGCCGAGTCCTGGGGGATGCGTGAGCCTCCTGCGTGGATCCGAGGCCACAGGTGGAGCTCGCAGGGGACAGGGCATCACGTGTACAGAAAGTGAGCACTGTGGGTACAGGGGCCAACAACTCACTTATGGTAACCCTCCCGAATTTGAGGGACCTCTAACTCCATTCGATGGCTATTGAGGAAATACAGTCAAAGCACGGAAAACTCTGATATTCGATATTGAATGAGTCGGTCCTCACGCATACAGAGTGTACATATCTCTCACAAATACACACACACACACACACCACGTGGTATTGATAGACAAGGGCTATGTTTACAAAGCAGCGTGGGGAGCTCCGCCTCCGTATACAGGCTGTAACTGTCACACAGAGGCATGCTACACACCCTTCACTTGTCCTCCCCACTCCACACCAGAAACTGACAAATAGTATCGACTTCCTGGTGGGCATAAAGAGATCGAGAAACAATGCACGGATTGGCTAAAGTTAATGCCAGGTCGTAGGGAAGCCAGGGTGTATTTTTCTGTGCAGACATGCATCCCGACTTTCCCGACCACGCCGGACTAGTCACCCGGCACTCAGCCCTTCCAGCTCCCCGTGTGGCTGGGAAGAAATCAGATGGTACTTGGAGAATGACAGCAGATTTCAGAGACGGGAATAAGTGGAGCCACCCCTGCATGCTGTTTCTCCCAACATCTGACATCCGTGACCAGCTGGGGTCACAACTGGGTGCTTATTACTTTGCTGACTTAGCTAATCCCGTTATCAGCGTTGATATCCATGCAAATGGTCAGGGCCAGTTCGCTTTCTCCTGGCAAAGATGCCAATGGCCTTCCAGCGCCCTTTCACCACTTTCAGCTCCCCCTCCTCAGCCTGACCCTTTTCCAGGATGTGGCCGCCAGGACTTGGAAAGAAGGAGCACGCCTTTTACAGCGTCTTTATTTCATCACATTCATCTGCGACTCTTCCAGACCTGGAGAAGTGCTCCCCGCTCACGGCCACTTACTAGCTCGGAGGTGGGCTGCGAACCCAAAGTACAGGGGCCTGGCTCATCGTCACGTTCTGGGGCGTGGGGTCGGGAGGACAAAGCGGAGGCCGCTGGCTGTAACTGATGAAATCTAAGCTCTCCCCGCCCTACTACTAAGCAGCTGCAGGAGTTTGTAGACTTCTTAGGTTATTGATGGGTATTTAGCTCATTAGTCCGTCCTTTATGTGAACTTACCGATAAGGGGCTCCACGCAATTGATTGGACGGGGCAGTGCAAGCAGGCACTCAGCCAGCTACAACGCAGCGGGCGCCTGCGGGCACTGGGCATTTTAAACCGGTCACTCCCCTGTGGATTGGATGTTAATGTCACCCAGGAGGGGTATGCCTGGGGCTCTGACAGCCGCTAGAGAAAGCTCGACTCTATTAGGTTCTGGTCACAGACTTGGACGGGAGCTGAAACCTGAGACAGCCCTTCTCAGGTAAATGCTGTTTATTAGGCTCTGATAGCTATAGACCCTGTAACTGGACAAGCCTCGCGGTGTGGACAGTCTCCCCCACCCCTCCCCATCGTGCAGTGGACACACGGCCTGTCCCACAGGCCAACCTTGGGCCACTCCCATTCGACTACGGATTGGTAGAAGGAGCTCAGCTGCCCAGACAAGCACTCTCCCAAGGGGTGAGCTGGTCTGCGACAATGCAGTTACCTGCCCGCTCCTGAAGCTGCAACAGCTTTTAGGGCCTGCGGTGTCTATGAACCCTGCTGTGCCTCCTGTCGAGGCCCCTCTCTCATTCCCTCTCCCATCAAGGCGGGAATGCCTCCAGAGCTGAATGAGGCTGGTATGCAGATGGCTCCTCCTGGGCCACTCCCACAGTGGAGAGCTGCGGCATGCCAGCCATCTACAGACCTATCTGGACGGAAGACAGCAGGGGGCAGGGGCGGGGTAGCCAATGCCAAGCTCGAGCTCAGAGCTGCACGGATTGTGATTGCTAAGGAAAAGGGGCCCTTAGCTACCTGCCCAACAGGGCCGCCTTACTCCACGGATGCCACAATGGCACCACCACCAACGGGTTATGAACAAAACGGTATGGGGTCAGGACATGTGGCAAGACGCTTAGAGATGAGCAAGACGCAGGGAGGAAGCCAATGCGCTGGTGCACGTCTGATACCTGGAGGAAGTTGTCACAGGGTGGCTTCACCAGGAAATGTCGCATGCTGGGCTGGGCAAGATGTTGTGGGAGTGAGGAAGCCCAGGGAGTTCCTCCGAAATACTCAGGCATGGTAACAGCTTGCAGTGAACGCTGGGTGTTCAGAGCGCTGGCCCTGCCAGTTACCGACAGAATGGGGACACATCGAAAGCAGCCGGGAGCCGCTGGAAGGCAGGGGGACTATATTGGACCCCTCCCCTGTGCGGAAGGGCCGTTTCTTTGACTCGTGTGGACACCTGCACTGGCATTCCATAAGCATTCCCCGCCGGGCAGGCCACTCAGCCCACCACCATGCGGGAGTCGCTGCAGTTATTTGCGGTTGTGGGACGCCAGAAGTCATTGGAAGTGACCAGGAACGCACTTGGCTGGACATCAGGTACCACAGCGGCCGGATGGCTGCCAGAACTGGCGCTCTCACCTGCCTCGCATCCCCGTGGGAGGCGGCCTCGGCCTCTATGGCTCTCCAGGGGA